CACAATATTTTGGTCAATGGCCAATTTGATAGGGCAAGAATATTGGAGGATATTTGTTCAACCGTCGAGTACGCAGAATGATGTTGTTCTTGATTTGAAACTTCTGAACGAGACATTATCAAAAGTGGACAGTGTGCTTCCTGTGAAGCATCGTCCGATTCTACAGGCTTACAACAGTACGCACTCACAAGCTTAGTGGTCTGTCCGATTCCAGTATAAGCACCCTTAAAACAATGCTGGGGAAATAGTTTAACAATTCTGTCTCCAGATATGGTGGAGGTGGGGTAGCCGATCTGTTCGACGTTTGTTCGTTACGCCGAAGACCCGGGTTTTATTGCTAAAAGTGGCGTAAAGACATACTCAATCACTCTTGACTTGACACAAAGTAAATGTATAATAAAAGTATATTAAAGGTTCTGTGTTTGCAGCACAATTTGAAACGGAACAATGTATTTGTTATTTTCTGTTGCAGTGTTTGAGTTGTAAGACTGCGTGAAATATTATGTGATATTATGAAATATATCTGAGAGACTGCAGCATTTGGATATGCAATGTAATGTCATTATGTCTCGATAACATACGTTGCAGTTATGTAGGATTGTCATGTTTTTTTGTGTTACTGTAACGTCACTATACAAGGGCGGCCAGTAAATATTCCAGTCCAGTGATTGATATCGTCAGCATTAGGAAATCCCACCCATTTGATACTCATATCTGCTCCTGACTACCTAATTGAGTTGGTGACCAAACATGTTCCATCGCGAGCCTCGCGATCAGCTGATCAACCTCTATTGGTCATCCAAAGACGTAAACTGAAAGCCTTTGGAACCTGCTGCCACTGGAACAAAGACAAACAACACCCCTTGATTCCTTCACATGTGCCTTAAAAACACTTCTCTTTAGAAATTACTACACTTACTAACAAACATATCCTCCCAAATAAAATCAACTATTTTATGTACAAATGTTTTATGTCTTGTAGCACTCCTGTCACCTTTATATGTAGCGCTTTGAGCATACATTTTTGTATGGAATCCAGCGCGGTTTAAATACACATATTATTATTATCATTTAACAAGGCCCTAAGGCTAGAGAGACACAGCAGTGGCTGGCCATGCATCTGGTCGCCTCTTACGATCCCTATTGGTTACTGATCCTTACGATCCGGGATAAAATGCGTCTTCAACCACCCATGTTTGTCATAAGAGGCGACCAAAGGGAGAGAGTGGTAAGGCTTGCTGACGTGGTTGACATCATGTCACTGTATCTCAGTTGTACAGGTCGAATACCATGATGCCAGTTACACGACTGTCTGGTCCAGACTCCACTCTGGTCATCCGTTTGATCAGTGTGTTATAACAACACGCTTATTAACAAAACTGATTGTTGTGGGAGTAAGAACCACCAGTGGCGACCACATCAGCACCTGGCGTAGCCACCCGTCTCACGGACAGACAGACAGACAGATAGTTTATTAAAGTCTCACCTCACAAGCGCATAGTAACAATACACAATACAAGTGCAATAAAACAGTGAGCCACCCTTTCTTGGTTACGGGAGACTATATAGCTAAGAACATATTCACACAATATGAAAACTATAGAAGTTAATATTAAATAACGAAGAACAATCAAAATACATCAGTAAGATATCATAAAGTATACGTATATATAGACAATATAAAACCATTACCTAATACCAAATAAACATTGTTTCCGTTTCTGAAGTAAAAGCTTGCAGGTTTTGGGCGGAATGAAAAACAATATTCGGATTGGCTAAGATGAAACTAACTTTCAGTACATCTGTAAAATCCACTAGTTACCTCTAGAGTACCTGCGTTAATTTGTGCTTCGTTCTAACAGTATGATCTCTAGTTCAAACCTGGCTTCCCAAAGATGCTCACACTGTGGGCCATGCGAATATTTAGATGACACTGTCTTGAAACCAATAACCTTAACAAATATTCAGTGTGGTTTCATGAAAAATCGAAGTACTATTGATCATTTAGTACGATTAAAATCCTTTGTTAAAAATGCTATAGTAAATAAACAACACGCAGTATTGGTATTCTTTGATCTCGAAAAGCATACGATACCACCTGGAAGCATGGCATTTTAAAGGATTGACATGACTTTGGTTTGAGGGGTCGTTTACCTCTTAACAATACAAACAGAGATAATATGTTGTTGAGGGAGACAAGGAGGATCAAAGTACGTGTAACATTCTTTTAGATTTAGAAAATTTAAAACCAGTTTTCAAGACACCATTTATTTATTTGTTTAAACACAACTGCAGTTGCCGTTCTAAAGAATGCATAATTGTACCTGACAAGAAATATTAAAATCATCCGCAAAAAGTGATCCATCGATCACCGGATTTTATGATTCAAGAACGTTTTAATCACGATACGGCTGATCTATTTCCGATGTGACTTTAAACTTCAACTCACTCACCCAAAACAGAGATTTTGTTACAGGTTCACGTTAAATGGACCACTGGTAAAGGTTTTCAGCACCATTTCCGTGCTCGTTGGTTTTACCATCACACTAACTCAGGTATAATAAAAAGTACGAGAACCTGGTTGCAGGCTGACTGACTGATGAAAATGAGTATTTCCAATTAAATAGGCCATGAGTGTTACACGTACTTCGATCCTCCTTGTCTCTCTGAACAACATATTATCCCTGTTTGTACTGTTTTCCCATACTGCTACGAGTGTGAGTGACAGCCGATGATTGCAAATGCATATTAAGCATATGCTCTTACCTTGATATGTCAATGTTTTTGCGTAGCAACATACATAGATTGAACGTATAGTGCACATCTTTCCTTCCCTCGTTCAGTTTCAGAAAAGGCCGGGCGACTATTTTCTTGAATGTAATTAGTTGCAGTGTTGTCACAACAACTCAGTGACGTAGGTATGCTAATGCACACTTTACACCGATTACTTGCCTTGGAGAGATGTGCATAAATTTTCATAGTTGCAACTGAAACATGCAACTGAAACTATGTGTATCATGCATATAAATTGGTATTAAACCTGATATAATCTGATTTAAATATAGTGTTCTGCCATTATCATGTTGTCATGTATGACGTAAAATAACCGTGAAATGAAAGAAAATGAATTAACGTCAATGTGCGAGTTACGCAATATCTTATTACGAAGAGAATCCTTCCATAGAAGTGGCGAAAAGAAATGCATGTTCAACGATACGTCACGGTGTAAAAAGGATATGACATATGGTATATGTTCTGTACGTTATCCTTGGATACCAAGCATATTTGGTGAGTTCGTTAACATCGTGTATCGAATTGACATGACGTCCTGGTTAATAGCGGATAAAACGGTTTCTGCATGCATGCACGTATTTTACAGACGGTAACTCCAGAGAGTTGTGTGTCGAGATTCATCAGCAGATGTTCTGTCATTGTATCGCATGGTGACGATCACTGGATTGTCTGGTCCAGACTCGATTTGTTTACAAACACCTGCATAATACTGCTGAAACTAATATATATTCATGATGCGTCAAAATTGTACACTCGAGTCTGCTTTTAAAAGAGATTTCTTATGGATGTGGAAAGGGTTTTGTCGCTTCTATCTATTTGATCATGATCAGTGATAGTTGGTTTTCTGAAAGAAGAGTGATTATGATACATGTATAACATCATCTGTACACCGTCCATTGTCGGAATCTAGTTGGCATTGTTGTGAAAGTTGCGTCTGATGTTGACCAGCTACATATAGGGTTCAAATGCTGATAAAACATGACCTCGCCCGTGCCGTATTTTACAGTGTGGAATATGCATATCGGCCAGTGATCTCAGTGTAGAAAATATGTCTGATATCTTACATGCAGATGGGGCTAACTTTATGTTGATGTAAACTGAAACAACATAATAAGTATTGTATTACCATGCGTAACTAATGCTCATCTTGGATCGAAAGCAAAAAAAGCCAGATCTGTGACACAAAGTGGGTGAATTACTGCTTTATCAACGTAGACAGTAATATTGCAGCTTTATCACTACAGTCAGCAGTATTGCAGCTTTATCACTACAGTCAGCAATATTGCAGCTTTATCACTACACTAAGCAATATTGCAGCTTTATCACTACACTCAGCAATATTGCAGCTTTATCACTACAGTCAGCAATTTTGCAGCTTTATCAATGTAGTCAGCAATATTGCAGCTTTATCAACGAAGTTAGCAGTATTTTAGCTTTATCACTAGTCAGCTATATTCCAGTTTTAGCAACGTAGACAACAATATTCCAGCTGTTCCACTAGTCAGCAATATTGCAGCTTTATCACTACAGTCATCAATATTGCAGTTTTATCAACGTAGACAGCAATATTCTAACTTTATCACAGCAATGGTCCAACTTTATTCGCCTGTCAGCAATGGTCCAGCTGTATAGCCACAGTTATCTAAAAGCTATCTTTATTACCACAATCATCGGTATGACACACACAGTTACAGAGCCATTGTAACACAGCTAATATAAAACTGTCATTTAATCTCAACTAAAAGTCGAGCTAGGGAAATTTAATTTATTTATCAATGTTCTTTGAAGGGCTATAAAAAAAAAACCCCGTTCACATGCGCATTTACAAAGCCATTAGGAATCCATTTTTACCTGTCCTCTGTTGTATATGTTTGATAAGAAAATTTGTAAATTTTACATAGCACATCAACTTCAGTTATCAGTTGTTCCAATATTCTCGACAGGGTGCTGTCGTTCCTAAATCTACTATATATATATTGTTAACAACATATAGTCTGATGTTTGAACCACGTCAGTTATTAGGATACATAATACATCTTATATCAATGTAATTATTTCACCGCATGTGATCACAAACTTAGGTTAGTGACATGATCTCATGAAATAACTGCGGCCATTCAACCATGACCGAGCTCGTTATGGCCACGGCAAGTGCGCTTCAGTATCAACAAAACATAACGCGTCAGACCAGGCACTGAAGCCAAAAAGTTGCTACAGTCGTATTATATTTCCATACAATCCTCGACAGCATCCAGTAGGTACCGTTAATACTTAGTGCAGAACTTGCAATACCGCGCATGCAGACTCCCTGGATATCTCCCAGATCGAAGCGCAGTGCAGCGGAGTTCCTTTGTCAATTACGATAGTCTAATTTGCTATACGCTATACGACATGGAGGATTCAGACTTCTGAGGGTGAAGGCTGTTTAAAGGTCATGTTGAACTTAGAGGAGACAGATGCGAAAATCATCTTCAATGGTGCTCACATACGACCAGCGCTACCAAGCCCCGCTTAACATGTAAGTGTACGTTTTTACTCAACTGTAAAGTCTAAATGGTGCGAATTCCATTTCATTCTATGAGTTGTTGCTGTAGTGATTGTCTATGGTGATCGATTTACGCTAACGACGAATGAAGTACATGTAAACAAACAGCTGACTGTGTGCACACGATTAGCGTCAGGGAACACGTTCTACAGAAGCACTACTTATGTAGTCATTACTGTCATACGATACAGTGTTGGCATATTTCTGTATGTACTTCGCCATACGTGCTGTATTTATGTGGCATGTTCAACTCTATGGGCTAATGTTTGCTGCCGTTATGTACATCGACCAAATCAAGATGTAATAACAAAAGGCACATGCGTGTTGTTATCAAGGAATACAATGTTGCTGGATTAACCATAAAGTGAGTTATTTTGTGCCAAGATGTGTGATATTTATGCTTTAATCGCAATTTGAAAAAAGAAAACAACATCAATCTGAAAAAAGAAAACAACGTCATTAAAATTTAATTTCAAGATCACTGCAAATGCAATTAGTTATCTGTGGCGAATCAAAAGAATGTTTGGCTGTTGGTCTTTTGAAAAGAATAACACTGAATACGATGAGCTGAAAATATCACCTGACAAAGGCTTTTTACAATGAAAACGTGTTTCTAATCATGACAGCTGTGTTTTCCCTAAATACGTAATACATATTTGCAAGTTTACTTAAAAGTGTAATGTACCTACTAACTCGATATATATATCACATAGATAAATAAAAACAGAATGACTTTTACTCCAACATGTTTCGTTCTTTACTCTTCATGGAGATTGTAGCAGTTACACTATGACGTCATTACATATATATATTGTGACGTAACAACTTGTCTTTGAAGTAGTGTTCTTTTAAAATTCGTTTTGCTTTGTCCGAATTTTGAACTTGATAAAAAGGAAATATTGTAAATTTAATATCGTGTCCTTTCGCACATACATCTAGACATCGGGTTTCAGGACACTTTATGTGTTGTTTGTGAACCCGGGCTCTTACATTTTCTGATTGACCAATATACTGTTCATTACAGCATGTGCATGTTATGACATATATTATGTTTCTGGAAGAGCAGTCAAAATTCTGTTTTACATAGAATTCTCCATGTCTCGTGAAAGTTACAGAGTGTCCTTCAACAATATGTCGACACGTTCCACAGTTACCTCTGTTGCATCTGGACACAGTAGGATTTGATAAATTCTGTTTCTTCAAAATAAATTTGGCTTTTGTTAGTATCTTTTTAAGATTCTGATTTTGTCTTTTGCTATTTAATATTTTTCTAGATTTCAGCATTGATTTCAGTTTTTCATCTTGTTCTAAGATGCACATATTTGTTTATTTGTTCTGGAACACATTTGGGTTCAACGGATTATATGTAGATACAAAAGCAATAACTTTTTCCTCATTGGTTTGTTTCATCGTTCCTGTCAAAAGATCTTCTCTATTAAACTTTATTTATTACGTCTTCAACAAGAGAGTTTGGATATTCCCGTAATAGTAAAAACATCCTAAGTTCATTCAGTCTTTGATTATGGGTGTCCTGGTTTGAAACTAGTGTACATATTCTTCGTGCCAGGTTATATGGAAGACTTATTTTACTGTGGCTCTTGTCATCCGAGTCACACTATAAGAAGTCTTCCATATAACCTGGCACGAAGAATATGTACAATAGTTTCTAACCAGGACCTCATTCTGTGTGAGCAACCAACATTTTCATATTCCCTCATTCATAAGTAATTCTATATTTTTTATGATGTCTTTGATCTCGTATCGTTTACAACTGTATATGAAAAACTGTAAACAAACATCCCCACAAATTATAACGGTATATGAGACACAGATTCGGTATGTAGTATACTACACGATAATGCCGTTTCGGCGTCCATGTAAAAAACATGAGCAGATCTCGAATGGAGCCATTACGTACAAGAAAACGTGACCGAGTTTGAACCAGAATCCTGTGGGAGTCTGGGTGAATGGATACATGTTATTGATCATTTTCTGTGGTGAATGGCAATGCATAGTGGTGAATACTGCCTCTAGTAGAGTGTTACTCAACAGGAATGAGATGCACATCTTTGTGTTCCACAGACATTTCAAAACATAGGTTCTCAGTTTGAAATCCAAATGATTTCTCAGGTTTGTCCGTACCATGCCTTTGGTCGCGATCGTAGGTTTCACAGAAGTCGTAACTGTTTGGAATCTAGGATCATTTCACTTCATGGATTGTTTCACAAATGTTTGAATTACACACGGAGATTACCGTGTTTTTAACAGCTGCCATCGTCTGTATCAGAAATCAATGGATACAGTTGTATACAACCGCAAGCACTAGTAATAATCCCAATGTCCATTTTAATACCAAGTAATAGTTACACTTTATGTCAAATGCTCATTGTTGAGCTTTAGATCTTCATCTCAGAAACTATCATTACACCACTTCCTACTTAAGTCTCTCATAAACCATTGTATGTTTCCAGCAGCGCAGTCGATATGCAGCTATCGCTATGAAGATTTGGACAGCGCTGCTGGGCGCGGTGCTTATACCTGGCTGCCTGCTGTTGAAGATCTCCAACAACGGCTACGAAGACTTGGTCGTGGCTATCCATAAAGACGTGCCGGAAAACCATGATATCCTGACAAACATCCAGGTATGTACGCACTTATATACTTAAGGTCAAATCCAGGTTTTCAATATTGGCATCAAGAGAGTCATATGTATTCACGAACTGCCAAAGAGCTAATCCCTTCCCACCAGTTTACCCAGCTGGTCGAGAAAAGGAAAAGGTTCTGAGACCGCATCGTCTGTTCCGTATCTCTATGTCTAAAGATTCATAAATGTGACAAAAATCTCTCCACACGACTACTTGAGAGTGACGGATGACTGCAATTTTCCTACAATATATTTCCCCTTTATGTTCAGCAATATTCCCAAAGTTCTTAACAGTCCTTGCTGTCTGCATATCACAACGTCCGGGACACAGTCGAGCATATTCTATCTACGAAAACTTCAAAGAGTTTATTGAAATATTGTTAAATTTTGGTTTGACCAGGTTAACACAATTCAAGATCTCAGAAAAGCTTCGAAAACGTTCCCTGTAGACAATTTTTTTACATCTGATGCATCGGTGACAAAACTTAAACGTCCTATTTTGGCTTGTGCCATCCAATCTGATGTTTCTTTCAGGTGTAATGTTGACTAGTCTTTCTACTTGCTTATAACGAGTGCCGCCGATGGTATAGGAAACGCAAAGCTATTTGTGGTGTATGGTATTGTGCATAGAACGCAGGCCACAAATCAGGTGAAGTTAAGCAACGTTGGTCACGGAGTGTCCTTGGATGGGTGACCGTGTTTGGCAGCTTGAATCCTGAGAGTTGCTAGAGTCCTGCCTCATAACGAAGCTCATATGTGGTCACACCATAGGCAAGTGAGTTTGTTCAAAATTACCTCTGTTCACCCAGGAGAAAATACAGCAGTACCCGGTGGTATAAATAATAACTATACTGAACATCATTGAAATCGCACCAGTCTAAAATTGTCCATATTTTCATCAAGATTGATTTCAGCATGACAATGATCAATGAATATAACTAACATGAAGTCGAAGGGCATGTCCAGTTGAACAAATGCTTTAGGAACAAATTCCTGTCCACAGTATGACTCTTAATTCCAAAATGCATCAACATGCAGCCACGCCATGAAAAAAAGCGCGAATTTCATTCTGAAATCATACTGACTGTGACATTAAATGCAGGTGTATGAGAACCGATTCTCATTGCTTCACTAACGATTGTGAAACGACGACAGAGATGCCGAGGTTAACACCTCACGAAAGAGAACGTGCACTAGGCATGATTCAGGTTGGCATCAGCAGCAGGGATATTGCTCGACAACTTGGACTTGGCCACTCCACCATCGTAAGGCTTCATAGACGACATCAGTAGACAGGCAGCACCCGAGACCTTTAATGACCTTGGCAACAACGTGTTACGACGCTCCATCAGGATCGCCATATTGGCCTTGTCCATATCAGTGATTGAACACTGCTGACTGCCAGGACTGCTGCACTAGTTCAAGGCTGACGTGGGGGTCATCAGCGCTGACTCCATGCGACGCCGTCTACACGCTACAGGGCTCCATGCTCGACGTCCTTACGTTGGACCAATTCTGACTGACAGACGCCGTAATGAGCATATACAATGGGCTAGCAAGCATTTTCAGAAAAGGTTACAACAATGGCATGGTGTGGTAGTCACTGACGAGTCACGTCTTCATCTACGTAATGCTGACGGCCGATTACGTGTTTGGAGGAGACGTCGTGAACGTTATGCTGATGAGTGTGTGGTTCAGACAGACCTTTGGGTGGTGGGAGTGTCATGGTCTGGGGTGGATTAAATTACAATCACAGGACTGCCTTCATGTCTGTCAAGGGAGAGTTAATGCCCTTTATTACCGTGAGCAGATTCTTCAGAATCACATCACATCTTTCTTCAATCACCACCAAGATGTCCATACTTTTCAACAGGACAACGCACGGGCAGGTTATTCATTGGCCAGCACAGTCACCAGATGTATCCCCCATGGAGCACTTGTGGGACGAAATTGGTCAAAGTCTTTCGCGGCGACAACAGATGCAAAACATCCGGGAACTTAAGGCTGCACTACTGCAGAAGTGGAATGCCATCCTCAAGAACTCTATTCGGACGCTTATTGACTCAATGAGGAGACGTTGAACTGCATGTGTCAATGCAAATGGCGGTCACACCGATATTGACTTTTCGATTTGACCCCACGTGTGTTTGATCCTTTCTGACTGTGGAACATTTCAATGAATGAGAGTCTTTTCTGTGTTGTTGTTTTTTGTCAGTCGTCCATCTGTTATTATCCACTCAAAACATTAATGTGCTTAAACGTGCTTTTAATAATCTGATCTATTATAATTGGTGCGTTTTCAATGATGTTCCATATATTAACTTTCTAGCACCTCACAGGCAGCTTGGGCTATCCGGGGTAATAATATCCATCATGATGTAAGCACTTAAAGCATGTCCCTGAGGTGTGGAGCGCTGTTATAATATTTGATAGTGACGCACAGGCGTATGGTCTGATTTCAGTGGAGAGTTCTCATGAATATTGATAGGGCTAAGTCTCTGATATTTATTTGCACAGGCTTTGCCTTCTGGGTGTAAATATAGGAAGTAACAAACCAACGGTATTGTTACTCTTGAGGCTGTTTCATGGCGTGACGACTTATGTGTTGTTCCACAATAAGGCTATACGAACTGGTACGTCTCCCATTTATGGCATATAGATTAAACCAAAGATATTTAGAAAGGCAGGAACACATATATTGTGTTGTTTGGGTAGTGTGTGTTTTACGTTTGGTACAAGTAGCTCTGTATTACAATTCACTGAGCTGTCGGATAAAATTCCGTATCGGTAGACATATCCACTTAGGCGATAAAGCTAGAAATTGGTATATCGCCAATATGTGACATAATTCTGCAATATTACGGCGAGGAAAGTACCTGCATGTGGGGAAATCGATCGGGCAAGAATACGTTAGCGTGAGGAACGCCACTATACATCCCTGATGCCCAGACAATTTGCTTCCACATGGGTCTGGTCCCAGTTCCACTAACCGATCTTGTTAGTGTTTATGATACAGTCGGACTGCAGATATATACATGTATTGTGAATTACATGAGACAGTTGTAGCCGTGGGATCGGTCTGGAAAGTGGTCCTGTTCGTTCAATATCTCAGAATGTTCTTCAGAGCGATTTGCAGAGTAATATCATTAGTTACTTCCTGACGAATGATTATTATGAGGACACAATTGGAGATAACGAGATCGTCCACACGACCTCATTGACCGTCAAATGAGAAGATATCGTCATAAACCTTACGATCGTTGGCGAAGAGATTACTTCACGTTCGTTCCATTCCTTGATTTTCGGTACGACTCTTACAACAATATTTCATTGTTCATTGCATTGGAATTTATTTGTGTTTAAGTGACTGAATAAAAGAGTTGCCAAAAGAACATATCAAGGGATTTTTTAAGAGGTTGTTGGCGGTTTGGCACTTCATTGTTATGTAACGATCATAAAATAAAGAATCCAGGGCAACCGAAACTCTAGAAACTGACGGCATATTGTGCAATACCTAATTATCTAACAAAAGACTTAATTAGAAAAAGGATTGCATTCAATCCACATGACTCCAAAATATTAAACAAACCTGAAGATATCATGTATATCATGTAAATTTCACGTGCAATAAGAATAAGAATCACATCTAGGAGCCAATTTCTTTCTCGGATATTGGTCTTACACGTGGCATTCATCGACATATCACTTACAATAAATTAATATATGACCAATTAAATGAAAATATACAAAAAAGATATTAAATACAAAAACATATAAAAAGATGGCTCAAGTCATTATGTAAAACCTGTGAAGAATCATAAATGCGTTATAATAAGTATCTCACCAATAGTGTGGATCTGATTGTATTGATTTTGTAACGGTGGTAATTTCAAATTGCCATATATACTGTTCAAAAAAGAAACGCATAACCCAGAAAATGGAAAATGTCGGAAAATGTTGTATTTTCAAACATGTAAACATGTATAACTCGTCCACAAATAGACTTTAGTACATGAATTTTTACATCAGTTTAGAAGAATTTAATGTCTATACAACCAAGTGGATAATTTTAGATAACGGACACGTTGAGCGCCGTGGTACGACGTTGGGGCTCCTGGCTCACCCGTGGCAGTGCGATCCCGCAAATTTAGTACCCGGATGTACTGAACTTGGGCTGCAGTTGTGACTCTACACTACTGCCTAAAAGTTCATTCCCCTTACACGCGTGTGCAACGCGTTACGCAACCCGTGTGAGTCGCGTTGGTCACTCATGTGGAACGCGTTGGCCACGCGTTGCCCACGGGTGTGTCGCATTGGTCACTCGTTTGCAAACCGTGACACACGCATTTCGGATGGAACAACCTTTTGACCAAAGGAGGACCCATATTAACCCCAAATAGGAGGTCGTAACATAGAGCTCAATTTGTAATTGTAATTTGTAACAGACCAGGCCGCATTTATGCTAGGTAATGTTAAATTAATAAAACCCTTAGCTGCATTGGTTACTAAAATGTTTGATAGATTAAACGCACTTGGTAGTCCTAGTATTTAAATATACCACATTTCACTGTTGCTTAGTATCTGTTTTAGGTATAATGTAGAGTGTGTCTCATAGGCCATACGGCCGGATGTTATATCTTTTATTGAGTATTTTAAATTGTCTATGTATGTGTTTTTTAAAATGTGACACACAAATAGAAATGTAATTAAGTATACCACACCCCACTGTTGTTTACAAAGCTGTGATATTTCATTCACTATTCTGTTTTAGGTATAATGTAGTGTCTTGTGTCTCATAGGCCATATGGCCGGATGTTATATTTTATTGAGTGTCTTAAAGTGTCAAAGTATGTTTTATATATAACATGTGACACACAAATAAACATATTTTCTTCTTTTTCTCCTGTAATTACGGGATGAAGTCTCTTTAGATGTGATCTTTAAGGAAAATAACAGTGATGTGATCAACCAGACCCATCTTATACATATGCCCTTTTG